TTGGCTTATCCGTCTCACGTATCAAGTCCGCTGTCAAATCTCAACATAGTATGGGATCGTCTCCCATAGTTAGCTCTCTCAAGACGTATGTTACACTGCTYGCGTTATTTCCACRGTCAAGTCTTAAAGCGGACCATGCGCCCTCTCGCTCTTCCTTTCGTACGCTGATCTCTCTCCCACTCCTTTCCTTACTCGCCCAGATATGCACGTGTCATAGCAATGACACTTGCTAGCAGTGCCCGTTTTCTTTCTTGATCGCGATCGCCTAACACTTCTAATTACAATCTCGCGAAACTCCCCCGCTTACGCAAGCACCAATTCGGCCTCCATTGGCCACTCACTAATTAGCTGGTAACTGCAGTCCACGCACAAGCGAAAAGCTGTTGATCTGTCCAACACAGGGACGAACCATGCTCAGCGCGCGACAAGTGGATTGAATAGCAACCTACACCACGCCCTGCAGAGTAACCTTTCTTGATGGACACTGCTCACTCTGTTCCGGCAGGATCCCCCTTTTCCTTATCTTTTTTTCGTCGCTGCTGCAGGTGCAAGCACGTCGCGAGAGCGAGCGAGCAGCGGTTGACGTCAGTCGCCTTCTGCAAGCTCACGTCCCCCTTCACTCACACCGTCTTTCCTCTCGTTGACCGCCCTCATTGCCTCAGGCCTTGCCACGTGCAGCCTGCACACGCGCGTAACCGCCCTCGCCCCTCTCTCTCTCTGCTGTTGACCTATTGTGTGCCCTCTCACATATGTCTTTTCCCCCTGCTCTGCTTCTCACCCGTCCCATGGCCTGTGGGCGTCAGCTGTCGAGAGCTGACCTCGGGTCCCTCTTCCACCGACTTCGCGGCTCGGTGATACCTCTGGACCTCGCCTGGTCTATTCCAGGACCTGAGGTCCGTCTCCCGATCTCCCGCTTCGCTCATTTCGCTCTCCCCACCTGAGTCCCTGTCTAGGTGGGCCTGCTCTCTGTCCGCCGTGTCAGTCAAAGTCTCAATCTCATGATAAGCCACCGTTATCCGTAGCCTCGCCGTCACACCGTCCCTTCTGCAGCACCTCTCCGCACGATCTCTCGCCTCAATGACTGTATCCTGCAACTTTGGGTTAGTCCGCATCTCTCCCTCTTTCGCTCCCTCCACATTAATCTTCAATTGCACCTCGTCCCCACCGTCGTAGTTGAGTATCAGTGTAATCCAGGGCCCTTCCCGAGACATAGGCTTCCACCGGGCCTGATGGTACCAGTAACCGGGCCTATAGCCGTGCAGCGCCATAGTCGTTCTCAGAATAGACAGAGCCTTGGCCCTAGGCACAGGCAATCGACACCCACTAAACCCTTGCTACTCTGTCCCCTTCACCTCGGTTGATTGGCGCTGGCACAGCGAAGTGGCTTGTGCGCTAACGCCGCGAAGCAGTCCGCTAGCACCCTCCTGATCAACCACTAGATAGCCAAGTCTCGGTCCTCTTTTCCCTTTTTATACAATTGACGGTATGCTGTGACCCCAACGTTCTAAATGGGGTACCCTCTGAAACTTTGCTCATCAGTAACCTGGGGCCATATAATTAATTAAATGGAATAAAACAATAAAATAAAAAYGGATCAAAATAAAAATAGCGAAGTCTYAGCGACCSCCGRYGAYTGCAGACTTTCTGCTATCGGCCCCTGTCGCTTCGCCTCGCCGCGAAGTGACCGCAACCCTGAAGCAGTGGTCCCATAACGGGATACCAGCTGGCGTACTTCCACCTTCAAAGCTCGCCGTCGACCTGTTACTGTTGGGTACCCGTGTCCGATGGCAAGGAGGGGGTTTATGACCCTCTATAGGGGGTGATATTCCTCCTACCAACGYGGYCGCGGGTGCTCCTCTTTTGAGGTCCAACCACGCGGCGCTCCATCGAACAGCAGCCGCAGGCTTATTAAAGGGTCGGCCAGTCCAGACCATCAGACCAGACAGTTTTAAATTTGAACCGTTAGGGGTCTCTCCCCGGAAGTGACTAAAATCATGAAAATACCGCACTTAGAAAAAGGGAAAATTACTAATAATAAATATGATAATAATAGGGGGAACGAACCACCAATATTATCAAAGGTCTTTCGATTTACTCAGACTAAAACTGGCACGTGCAGTTCAGACCATTAGTGTTCTCTTCATTCTGTCCTTTTTTTTTGTTTTTTTTTCTTTTCTCTGCCTAGTCTTTTAACCCATAACCCGGTTAGGAGGAACTCGGCGCGCAGTAGAAAAGGCAGCGCCGGTCTTTTCACCTCCGCGTCCCAGGGCGAGCCCGGCGACTACCACGGCCACAGGCCGATCGTGCTCTGCTGTACAGCAGGGCGCGGAGCCTGCGTGGACCAATGGAAAGCCCTGTGGCGCACCCCCTTTTGCCGGGGCAGGCACCAACGGGGTCAATCCATAATAGGGTTCCGCCCGGGTATACCAGAAATGTCGCTCAGGTTTGGAGACAACCCGATGAGCAGCGAGCACTCACAGATGGGACAGGTACGGGGCAGGAGCTTGGCATACGGAGGAGGGCCGGGACACCGCGCCCTCCGACATCGTACGGGTCCGATAGAGGCGTTGGACCGCACGTACCCCCTATGCTACAACGTATAAGAAACGCCCTCGGTTGGGCCACCTCTACGATTGCAAATGATTAACTTTCACTTGTGGTTCAGTAGCTCGGCGGGGATACGCCCACCTGAGGAATGGTGACAGCTCCCGCAAGTGGAGGTAAGCTGTACCTTGTGTGGCCCTATCCTGTCGTAGGGGTTAGCGAGAGCTATGGCTGGCGCAGTGGGCCGGAGTGGCGATGGAAGCTCCATTGCACCACGACAAAGGATAAAGTCCTGCCACAAATTCTGCGTAACGCGGCCGGGAGGGTCCCCTTGCGGGACTGATGCGCTCGGCAGCGGGGCGCAAGGTAGAAGAAGGGGTCTGGTTCTTGGGGTGTCAGAGAATGTCAAAACGAGAAATACCAATGAAAAGACCTCAAAGAAATTGAAATGCCAATTAAAATGGTAAAAACCAGGGTAGAAAAGTACAATAAAAGTTTCGCAGAGGTAAGATTAAGATGGACGTGGTGAACCATACCTTATAATAATATGCGAAGCCGCTTGTTGAATGAAAATTTTGTTGTCGTGTAACCTATGCCAAAGCCACTCAGACGTTACCCGATGCTTCATCACTGGCCAAGACAACCCTGCACAGCCTGACAATCACCTGACATAAACAATCTTGATGCACGACAACCATCATGAAAGCCAACGACCAATACATGTGCAGACACTGACCAGACCCCGCTCTCTCTCTCTCTCTCTCTCTCTCTCTCTCTCTCTCTCTCTCTCTCTCTCTCTCTCTTTCTCTCTCTCTCTCCTTCCCTCCCTTGCTCCCTCCCATACCCACCTTCCTTTGTCCCACCTTGCTGCAATATGTATGTATCCATGTTGTGTTCCGATCACAAAGGGTGGGATCCGCACAGGGAAACATCCATCGGAATCGGCCATCATGAGTCTGGGATGTCCGGAGGACTATCAAGTTCAACAAATTATGAGAAGGTGAAGGTGTCGTGCTCTCTCTCTCTCTCTCTCTCTCTCTCTCTCTCTCTCTCTCTCTCTCTCTCTCTCTCTCTCTCTCTCTCTCTCTCATTTTCTCTCCCGTCGGAATCGTTCACCATGAGTGTAGGATGTGCATCGGATTACCAAGTACAACGGATTATGAGGAGGTGAGGGTGGCGAATGTGCAGACGCTGAGGCGAGTGTGCTCTCTCTGTGTTTGTCTCTCTGTCTGTTTGTCTTTCTCTCTCTCTCTCTCTCTCTCTCTCTCTCTCTCTCTCTCTCTCTCTCTCTCTCTCTCTCTCTCTCTC